TCATTATGGCTCCAACCAAACCCAATGCCCCATGCAAACTCACCGCGGCCAGCCTCCTATGCATCATCCGTACTAACACCAGGGCAACCCGGCCTCTCCTTTGAAGCCCCCTTGTGTAAAAGAAAAAACCCAGGCTCTCTTACCCCACCACACATGTCTGAAGAATACAAACGTATCCTAAGCGGTGATCTCTGGGCTGATGCTACAGATCTTTCGCCACTGCCTCAACTCTCACCGCTGCCTCAACTCTCACCGCTGCCTCAACTCTCACAAAACTTCAAGGCATCCCTTGCTACCAATCAACCAGAAGAACCCATAACAAAATCCTCATTTGTTGATCTCCTGGCAAATTTTTTCAAATCACTCTTTGTTCGCTGTTTTCACTCCCTCTCAGAATACTTATCCGTGTCTGACAGTCCACTATCCGCAATGCCAGCCTCTTCTTGCCTCACTTATTAGCCAGCTGTCGTCATCCTAATGCCTATTCAGTCAGTGTTTCTCTGGAATGCCCGAGGGCTAATGACAAAACTATCTGAACTAAAGCTTTTTCTGTCCCATTCAGCCCCTCCGTGGTCTGCATCACAGAAACACACCTACAGGAATGGCATTCTCTACAATTCCCAGGATATGTCACCTACCGACAGGATAGAGGGGATGGCTTTGGGGGACTTCTGGTGTTGGTTGGAGCACAACTACAACAAAAAGCAGTAGCATTGGATGCATACCGTGATGGCCAGATGCAAAGTCTGGCAGTAGAAATTGCACACCAGAATTCATGGTCAAAAATCTTTCTATTTTACAACCCCTGCTCCCCCGTCACCCAGGCTGAATTTGAACATTATATTTCACTTGTAGGGCCAAATGACATGATCTGCGGTGACTTTAATGCCCACCACCCTCTGGTTCAAATGCAAACAAAACTATGCCGGCATCTCTATTTAATGCCATCAGCAAGTTGCCTCTTCTGCTCCTCAATACTCCTGGCTTTTCCACTCGCATAGACCCTCACTCGGGTACGGGTTCAGTATTGGACTTATTCTTTGGCGCCCCTCCTTTTCATTCATACTCGGTTTCACCAGGCTTGGACTTAGGTAGCATTCACACTCCCCTCCTGCTGCAGACTGGTCCCCAAAAGTTGCCGAGGACTATGACTGTTCCACGATGTACACTACCCCACAAATCCTGCGCTCAGGAGTGGCATATGTGGTCCGCTAATCTCTCAAACAAATCTATCCACCGAGGCAACAACCCTCAAGAATCATATCAGGCACTCTCCTCCATGCTGATTGAACACAGTAAGGCCCACTTCCCTCTGAGGGATTCAACCTGCCCACACCGCCCAAGGACACTTGTACTCAGTCTTGGAACCCTACTGGGAGGAGATACCACCAGCAGCCCTACCTGGTCCCAGACCTGCAGAGCTGTGGAAAACTTCATCAGTTCAACCCACTGCTTAGACCCCTAATCGTTGACAAACTGCTGCTTCCGGAGTGAATCGTCCAAGGCGCAGCACTCCATTAACCTATCAAAGAACAGAACAGAGAACAGATCCTCCTGAATACCTATAAATCCAGATCCTGAGAACTCCTGAATACCTATAAATGCCCCCAACATCAACTGCCAAATTTCGTTACAAAGATTTTAAGATGCCTCCATGTGTGGTTAGTACCCCCAGGTTCATGGTTAGTGCCCCCAGGTGAGTGGTTGGTGCCCCCAGGTGAGTGGTTGGTGCCCCCAGGTGAGTGGTTAGTGCCCCCAGGTGAGTGGTTAGTGCTCCCAGGTTAGTGGTTAGTGCCCCCAGGTGAGTGGTTGGTGCCCCCAGGTGAGTGGTTGGTGCCCCCAGGTGAGTGGTTACTGGTTAGCACCTCCAGGTGAGTGGTTAGTGCCTCCAGGAACCTCCTCCTGGAGTGAGACTCTCTGCCCTGGTGTGGGGCTCTCTGCCCTGGAGTGGGACTCTCTGCCCTGGTGTGGGACTCTCTGCCCTGGTGTGGGACTCTCTGCCCTGGTGTGGAACTCTCTGCCCTGGTGTGGAACTCTCTGCCCTGGAGTGGGACTCTATGCCCTGGAGTGGGACCCTCTGCCCTGGCATGGGACTCTCCACCCTGGTGTGGTCTCCACTTTGATGGCCCCATTCTGTAATCATTCAGCCTTCGAGAAACATTGGACAACTCTTCAGAACACCTAAATTCTTAGCTGAAAATAAAGTTCCTTAAATTTGTTAAACTCTCCTGTTATGGGGCCGCATTGAACTAGTCTTCAGAGGCTCCCATAAACTTTGATTAAAGAAGAAGAAGAGGAAAGCTGTGGGCAACTATAAATCACCACTCTGCCCAGCTGCCGTGGGCGTGGGGCTGCATTGGACTAGTATTTAGAGGCTCCTGCAAATCACAAACGAAAATAAAACTGGAAAAGTTTGCCACAGCGAATCCGAATGGACGTAGGCTACCTAGCCACGTTAGAGACTCTGAGTTTCATTTGTTCACTCTCTATGTAGCTATGTATAGACATGTCGGTGTTGTACTTGTGCACAATCTGAATCTGTGAATCTCCTTACAAATTACTACTATATTGATAATTTGAAATCTAATAATCTCTGCTAAACAACAATGAATTGTACTAATGAATATTTGAGTGAGTTATAGCCTATACCTAGGTACAGAGCTGGGCAGCGCTACTTTGAAATGTAGCGGCACTACCGCTACCGCTACATGCTCTAAATGTAGCGGGCGCTACCACTACCGCTATTCCCACTAGATTGTAGCAAGCTCTACCACTACCGCTACAGTAAAATGTAACGCCCCTACATTATCCGCTACAATGGCCAAAATTATTGGAAATCTCTATATATTTATTGTTCCACTATTGGGATATACTCATAAACATTTAATGATAATAAAACATTTTCAAAACATATCAATGCAACTTTATTGCAATTAATCTAACTGAACCAGTATGGGTTAGATACAGTAAATAAAAGTTACAGTTATTTTTATGTTTTACCTTCCCTACATGGATGTCTACTTTAATCTTCAAATCTCAAAAATTATCCACATGTACATATAAAAATCATTTTTTTATTTGTATTTATATGTGGATTATTTTAGAGATTGTTAGATTAAACTAGACATCCATGTAGGGAAGGTGTAAGATAAAAATAACTGCGTAAAAATGATTGTAGGAAAACTGAAACATGAAGAAATACCTGTAAGTAGTAACTGGTAACAACTTAACAAGTACCGTCAACCGGGGCTACTCGGGACAGATTTGATCGTTTTTTTGTTAATAACTGTTAATAACTTATTACGATGAAACATTTCATAAACAAATTTAAGCTCATTTTATAGCTCTTTGCCAGGGCTATCGAATGGCATTGTCAAAAAAATTCCATATGCTATTCCTAAGGTGCCAGACGCAAAATAAAGATTGTCCCGAGTAGCCCTGTCGGTCGGTCGGGGCTACTCGGGACAATGGGAATGAAACTTCATTTTAAAACATTTGAAGCATGCAGAGCATACTCATCCATTACTAACAGTACTCTGAAGTCCTCCTCTTTCATTGTAGACGATGTAGAGGTAGAATAAATGACATTTTCTGTGATTTATACTTGTTTTTCCTTTATTGATATGATATTACCATAAACATTAATTACCGTCAACTGGGGTGACTTTGGCCTCGTTTTTGATTCATGCTGGGGTCGTAAACGCGGGGTCGTAAACGCTGGGGTCATAAACGCCGGGGTCATAAACGCCAGGGTTGTAAACCAGGTCATTAACGCCAGAGTGACTTTGGCCATTGTTTATGACCGTTTATGACCCCGTTTTGGCCATCATTATGAACGGGGCGGAATCCCCCAGTTGACGGTACCCTATTTTATTACCATATCCATGAACATGCCATTGAGCATTTACAACAACCTTGTTCACTGCAAGCTTCATATCGGCAGCCTTATAGCATTTTTTTCTGTATCTGTAAGCATACAGGACGGCTTGTAATTTGTGTGACAATAAGTGAGTAGCCCCGAGTAGCCCCGTTCGACGGGGCTTCTCGGGACACTCTTTTTTTTTGCTTCTGGCACCTTACGGATAGCATATGGAATTTTTTTGAAGATGCCATTCAATAGCCCGCGCAAAGAGCTATAAAATGAGCCTAAACTTGTTTATGAAATGTTTCATGGTAAGAAGTTATGAATGAAAAACATTCAAAATTGTCCCGAGTAGCCACAGTTGACGGTAGATGAAAATGGGTATTTAACTGGAAATGCATTTATTAAGATATTCTGAAGACAGATATTTTTGCTAATATGTCATCAAAGATCTTTAAATATTTGCCCTTTCTCTGCACCGTGGCATGCAATTTGCATAGGACTATTTCAATATGATCAATTGGCTTAGTTGGCTGATCTGAGCATGCACCAGCAGCCAGCATTGAAGGTGGCAATTGTCAATAACAGGTGTGGAATATACATATCTACCTTTTGAACTGGGACCAAAACTTTCATGCTATTTTGGGATCAGCAATATTCCCTCTAGATGAATTATGTACCTCCTATCTATTTGTGGACCAAAGTGCACCATTGGGCCATTAGATTCCAAATTCATTCAAAATTTGTCCCTTCGGAGCTGGAAGATTTCATTCATGAGTAAGAAAACTCTAAATCTAGTCACTAATACACATACTGGTAGTGGCATATGTACTTGGCAGCAAAGCTTGAGAATATGATTGCTTTATTGCAGAATTGGGAATTTTGTACTTAAGACTGAAATCTAGCAGCTCCAGAGTGACATATTTTTGATGACTTTGGAATCCTGTGGCTTAATCATGCACTTATGTTATCAATTAGTTAAAAGATAATTCATCTATCAGGAAAATGGCAAGAAAACTCAGTAGCTGGTAGCCGATTGTGTATCTCATTGTGTTCACATCATTGTTGCATTAGATAAAACAAAAAGATTGTTGAATAAATTCTGCTGATTTTGAGTTAAGTTTTTAATCTCTTAAAGATCCTATTTACAGAACATTGCAGAATTGTGTAATGGTCATTTGCACAAACTTCAAACAACAAAGCATTCTTAATTTTAAGTGATATACGTATATATTTATTGCACATTTTTATCAATTAGTGTGGTAATTTATCAAACAGAAATGTCTTTTGACTCGTATCCTCTGCCATTGTCATCTTCTCCTCCTCCTCTGGATATTCTACCCTCACCAACTGAAGAAGATGAAGAAGAGTTTGGGCAACGTGTTGGCATTGGATCTCCTGTGTTTGACATTACAGGTAACTTTGATTATGTGCTTAATTTTTCCTGCATTTTATTTCGTTCTTGAGAATTTTGATGTTTGAGGATGTTTGACTGCTTCTTTTATCAATGTGTTCTTCGTACAAATTATTGAAATAGTGCTGTCTCTTGAAAATATAGATTAATATTTTAGTTATAAGGAGATTTGTTTTTATTTTCAGTTATAGTACCTAAATGGGCTAAAGTTGTTGAATTTCATGGTCCTATTATAATATTAATACTTAATTATTGTTTACAGGCTTATCAGAGAAGTTGCCACCTACTCCACAAGTCAGCCCAGCCAAACATAAACAGAGCAGAATTGATTATGCTCTTCGAGAAGACAACTCTAGTCATTTTCCTGGAACAAAAAATTTACGCAATAATTTTTCATCAGTTGGTGAACATGTTGACTCTCCCCCTGAATGTTTGGGATTTAATCATCCTGGAAGCTTTAATAATATTTCAGTTAATTCTTTAGGTCCAATAAGATCACATGAGAAGGACCCGTGTCCAACTGCAGAATTTGTTCATGAAAATTTTACTCCAAAAATTACAAATGCATCATCTTGTAGTGAAAAAATTTGCCATGATTTTGAAGATGATGAGTTTGGAGATTTTGCAGGAGTTGACATGGAATCAGATCAACTGTCGAAACTCAGTGCATCGGTTGAAAATAAGCATCCCAGTAGAGAGGAAATCCACGAGACTTGTAGAAAAGCTGATGAAAAAAATCCTGACTCTCTAGATTTTAGGGACATTTCTAGCTTGAAAAGTAATCTAGATCCAGTTAATACCATGAGTGTTGCAACGAGTACTCCTGCCTCAGGGACAGTTGTTATTAGATCCAATGTTCCATGTATAGTTGAGCATGTTGAACAATCTGTTGATTCTTGTCATAGTCAAGTTTCAGCAAGAACATTTTTTCCTTCTGTGATTTCAGACATGAGTACATCTAGTCCTATTGTAAGCATTGTTAATTCTGAAATTGTGTCTGGTGACAGCAAAGCCAAGACTGAAACATCTGAACTGGTGACGGATGAGCATGGACATCTTGTCCCCTGGAAACCTTATGTAATGAACACAGAAGAAGATGTGTTTCATTATTTCCAAGCCCCTACAGAAACAAGTGAAGGAAGTGACTATAATTTGGAACCACACAAACTTGAATCCGAGTCCGATTTGAAGCCATCTGAGCTACAGATTCAAGAGTCCCAAGATAAAAAGCAATTCTCTAGAAGAATTCATGCAGAGGAGATCTCATCAGAGGGCTCAATAGACATTGAACTAGACGAAAAGAAAACGACCGAAAATAACAGTGAAATAAAATCTTTTGATGCCAATAAAAGTATTGTAACGCCTATAAGTTTAAACAGTCCAATAAAGGTTGCTGATGACCCTGGTGCTGAGGAGGAATTTGAACCATTTGCTGATTTTAATTCTTTTCCGAGAGTTGATGAAACATTTCATGCATCTGTTGACGGCTCCATTGTCAGCATACCTGCTGTAGTGGCTGACGATGTAGTAATGTCTTGCTCTCTTCCCACTATTGAAGGCATGTCTGAGAACAGCCCTGATGACGATTTCGGCTATAGAGATATTGATGCCGAAGAGGACGACCTCAAATCAGAAGCTCACAAGGATCTTCCTGCGGTAGAAGCTAAGAATGATCGTATTATTTTTCAAGAAACGAAAGGAGAAGAAAGTTCAATTGAAAATTCCAGAAATGTTGATGAAGACGAATTTGCTGATTTTGTTGCAAGCACTGAAGTAAACGATGATCAAAACAGAGAAGAATTTGAGGAGTTTGCAAGTGCCAAAATTGACGATGCTTTTGGAGAATACGGTTCTGAAAGTGCAATCTTGAACCCAAATCCAACGATGCTTGCCGACTCTGACAATGATGATGACGGATTTGGTGAATTCACCGAGTTCAGCGAAGCGGGAGGAATGAATTCCGGTCATTTTGATTTCGCCGTCGTGCGTGAAGCCTCACAGTCATTCTCAAGATCCACCAGTTTGGAAAGCAGGCCTGAGGTAGACAGCATCAAGGACCCTTTGTTGGCGAAGGTTGGTTGCTGACATCCTTCTAGGAAGTTGTTTGATTAAGTTCTGTTTATTCTATCTACTTGTTAGTTCGTTTGATTTCTTTCAACCTATGTTCTGTAATTTACTATGCATCTTACAAGCATTCTTCGTAATATCTTCTGTTGAGTAAGAACTTGATGTGTTGATATATATTGTCAAATGTCGAAAATTTTTTTGGCCGCTCGAGCTGAAGCTGAAGAAGATTTCCTAAATTCACACTCCAACATATAGGATTAACTTTATTGTTTATTCACACTTAATTATTCACACTTAATGAACTATAATTATTAGTATAACTAATTCTAAATGGAAGCATTGTTTTATATTCTAGTTGGATGGCCTGGTGCGGAAGTGGATAACTCCTGCAGCGGAGGATCTTGCCACACCAGGGCCTCCTCCTGAGCTGCTGCGCGACGTCGTGAAGGGCGACGCGTTTGTGTGGCGTAAACTGGAGAGCGTGGAGTGGCGTGGCGTCGTGTGGCAGTCGTCTGTGGCGAACGGTCTCCTGCTCAGCGCTCTCAACATGGACGCCAGGAATATTGTGAGAAAATCTCAATTTATGTAATGTAAAATGTTAATCTTAGAAAAAAGGTTCGTAAAAATTTGTATTCTATTCGCATTTTATGTCATGTAAAATATTAATGCTAGAAAAAATATTTAAAAAAATTAATATGCTGTTGTTACGTCAATTTTGATTGTTGGGTGTTAGTATTTTTTATTAAATTTTGTGCGTTGAGAACAGAAATGTGTCAAAATTTCTATTGTAGTAGTACATACTTTAAAAATCGGAATTATATTTCAATCGATTCTCTTATCCTGTTTTGTTTGTGGAATTATCTTTCTGAATTTATTTCCATTTCTTTGCAGTTGTACAACCAGAAGTGGAGTTCATCCGTGCCTTTATTTGCTCAGTCTCTGGGCTTCTCACCACTCACGCCAGCAAAATCCTCGTCAATGAGTGGCTTGTCGCCGCACTCCAGCGCTCCGTTGACTCATAACAGCAACGGCTCTGGCAACTGGCAGCCGAAACCGATGTTGCCAGCAAGTGGTGACAGCTGGCAGCTGCCGCAACCCAAGGGCGACAACGACTCATGTCCCAGCGAGAGCAAAGCCTTACGGGATGAGATCTTACCGCAGCCAATGGACGTTTCCAGTTTAGACATTCTTCATGCATCATCCAAACAGAACACAGTTTCTCCTTCTTCGCAGCTTGATTGGCTCTCGTATGATGGCAACGAACACATCACATCACTAAATTCCAGTGAGTGTTTCATTTTGTTCAATGCCCCGGTCGAGCCAATTTTCACGGGGCCCCGTAAAAATTCTTAAATGAAAAACATAATCCATGGGTCTCGCCCTGACGGCAAGTCAGACGGCGAGCGTTTGTTCGGGGCCTTAATTGCTTAAACCCAAAGGAAAAGTTATGGGGTTCACGTCTCTAATTTTACATGTAGACGGGATCGCAATTTATGCTATAGAAAATTTACTCTTAAACGCGGCGCTTTTCGTTGTTAATTTTTTTTTTGCCAAACGCCTTCACCAATCGCTAATTTTTTTCAATAGTTATGTTTGAAAAACTTTTTTTTTTACCTCTAGCTCACCAACCACTTGGTCTGGCGCTTTAAATTATGTTTTTTTAAGCTAATTTGACTTACCTACATTTTCAACACGAATAAATTATTTATATGATCCGTATTTAAAGAGTTAGAAAAATGTGTTATGAAATTTTCACAAATTTATCAACGACAATATTCAGACCATCAGTCATATCGAATGCAATTATTTTTTGGAGTCTCGTGTATCCAATGCAATATGTTTGAAAAAAAAAAAATCGAACGACCGGTTTTTTTCAGAGCTCCATAAGTCATTGATAGGCCCCTAAGTCATGACAGTGAAACCTTGTAACACCATCTTAGGTTAGGTTAGGTTTGTACAAGGTTAGTCAATAGGGTTGATGTAGTTTTGATTGCTGGGAGTTCGTTGCGTAGGAAAGTGTTGTTGTTGATTGTTTGCGTATTTCGTGTAGAGTTGTGTGTTTTTTTTTCGAATACACGGCCGGTGTTTATGATGTATGGTAATGGATTTTTGATGTTTGTACTACAGTTGCATGGAGATTTGTTTGTATTATATATGCGTGGTTGTTTTGAGAGATATGCGCAGGCATGTACTCATATTAGTGAGTTGTTATTGTGTAGGTATATATTGCTTGTGTGTGTTTTTATGTGTATATCGTATGTATAGTATTGTATGATGATAATAATTAGAAATAATGGGAAAAGTGCACATTTCGATGGTCTCCGGTTAAATTCCGGAGCGCGCGGAATTTTCAATATACAACCTAATTGTTATAAGTAGAGTACGAACAGATTGTAATAACTAATTACTCGACGTCATAGGAGTTTCTTGTTGCCTTTCTCCAATGAGTGTTTAGCAGACGAATTAATACAACCAACGTCAAAAAACTAATCCATTTCCCCACTACAGAGTGCGTGGACAATCGTTCAGGGTCGTCGGGCGGCAGCGAGTCTACTCTACCAGCGGCCGTGCAGCGCCTGCTGGCCACCTCAGTCGCCACGACCGTCACGACGCTCGAGGAGCTCACACCGCGGGAGCGGCAGTTCGTGCAGGCCTTGCCCGACCTTAGCTTCATGACCGCTCGTGTATTGATGTTCCCTATAGCTCGTGACAAGGAATAATGGCTCTCTCGTGCAGGCCTTGTTCGTCCTGAGCAGTATTGAAGTTCCCAATATCTGCTGATAATGCATAATAATGCTCTCGTGTTGTCCTTGCCCCACCTGAGCTTGAGTATTGAGGTTTGATGTGAAAAAAGGCGTTCATATCTGGTCACTTTTTTCCATTTTTTTTTGCAGTGCAGTCATTTGGCATTTTCTCGATGGTCCGAAAGGGTGAACCACAGTTTCTGTCTCCAGTGATGTTTTAAATTTGTATTGTTGCTGATGTGTAGGTTAATTTTTTAGGGAAGCATGAGTAGACTGTTGAGTCTTGAACCTGTCCGAGTGGGAGTATTCTACAAGTTATGAGTTCATTTTGACTCCAGTCCTTGTGATTTCCCATTTTTGAGCAAGGTCATAATTGAGGAATATGCAGCGGCGTTCTTTTCTTGATTGCACTTTTGAAGAATAGTGGACAAATTATTACACATTCAAAGTGGATCACGAGCAACTGTACTTCCAATAATTCAAATATAAATACTGCCGGGAATCAGAAAAACCTTATGAGGGAAGGAAATTCATACTGTAGTTCGTCACAGCTAAACCAGACAGTCTATTTTACTTTCGAATGTTATGCTATTCATTGGAGTGACACAATACACGGTTTACATATACTAAAATTTTAATTCTTACAGACTAGAGAATTACAGCTTTGACTAAGATGAATATCTGTTCATAACGCTAATTGAAGATTATCCAATATAATGGTCCTGGTATTCTCTTTGTTGTACCTTATCGTCAAAAATATTTATTGCCTCAATTCACTGCCATCATAATTTATTAATTGTTTAAATTAGTTATCCAGTTTTTGAAGTGTACGTATTTATTTCGGTGTTGACCAATTTTCTAGACGCGCCTTGGATGGTGTTTATTCTTTGCATGTCCGTCCCTTTTTTCATAGTTTTCTTTTTTTACTTCTCTTGATTTTTCCTTCATAAGAAAATGATTTGTTTCCTTTTTGCTTCGAGATTTAAGCGTGTATGTTATAAATCTTATGGATTTTGTAAAAGTTCCGCTGCAAGAATTCAAAGTCAGGTCAATGGAAGTTGACAGTCAGACAAACCGAACACAAGTTGTCAGAAATAATGAATCTTTGTCAGGGATTCACTTCAGCTGCTCTTTTATTAAGTGTGGTTTCCAAGCTTCAATATTGGTGCAATATATTACTAATTTCTGTATATACGAGTATCAAGCAAACTTGCCCAGCCGTGAACCACAGGACTCGATGTATGTACTTTTTCTAAAATCTTTTCCTGTTGGTTTGATCAGTGGAGTTTGGCGGTTCATCATCTGTTTGTTTTCAATGCTTCGTGAAGCATCGAATAATTTGAACCGATGAGAGTGTGACTGAGTAAATTAACAATACTAGACTATAATTTTACTACGTTGTATGTGTAAGGAAGATTATATCGACGTTATTATTATGTGTGAAAAGTCGATGGAAGGTTGTGATGCCTTAGCTAAGTTAGCTTAGAGTATTAAAATCACTCATGATTGCCTTACTCGCTCATGTCGAGTTTTGCCGACATCTTGCCTGTTTCTGTGGAGGCCCGATGTGTCGTCGAAGATCTTCTAATACACAAAGATGTCGACTTAGTTGATCATATAAAGGATACAATAATGGAAAAAAATAGTTAATAAGGTACAAATCCAAGTTAATTTCATCACCAAAAACTTACATGGGCTCTCACTAACTGAAAACGAAGGAACAAAAGATAATTCGCATCTTTCAGCTGTTGTCTGCTAATTCGATAACTATGGTGGAGTGTAATATTTGTCACCACATTTAATTCATGCCGCGAACAATTGTCTAATTACAAAAATTGATATCTTTGTGCATTAGTATGTCTTTGAGGATGCATTGCATATTTTTTCTGTGTATTAAGATAAATAACTACTCGTTTTCTGGGCACACTTGGCGCGCTGACCTAACATGTCGGAGAATAATTTGATGTGTGCGCAGCTGTTGGTATTGCCAAGTGTTCTATCAGATAAGTGTATCACAATCGAGGACCTAGAATGTGAATAATACACAAGGCTTTTTGTCCCTGTAAGCCTCAGCGTGGGTGATAATGTATCAATAATATTGAAACTATTATCTTACATGGCGGGAACCATGTCCGACTTTTTACATCTTTCTCAGTTAATTTTAATTTCAGTGAAATTCGTAAGGCTAAAACACACATTCCATTTTTAGACGTAAAATAAAAACACAGTTCAATTGAACAAAAATTTGTTTCAATTTCGACGTTATCCGTTTCAAAATTAATCATGTTCTTTTTCAAGGATGGAAAATGTGTAGCTGGAGCTGCATTTCATCGCAAGGCAAAATTTCACAATAGGGTCCAATCTCAACAGGTCAAAACTGAAAGCAAAAAAGTTCAATAATCCCATGCTTTAAAATTTTATGGACTGCATCACTGCAACAAATAAAACTGACTTATAAAATTGACCAGTTCGGAGACCTGTCTTGTGGAAAATTCCCATTCTCCTTATGAATAGGCTATTTTCATTCGGGAAACAAAATCTTCATCAGAAAGACTTGAAAAATTGAAATTTTTATTTAGAAAAAAAAAAAATATGCAGATGCAATGGCAGGAAAGTAAACTTGACTATTGATACAACATGGAGCCATTGACAGACGCTGTCAAAGAAAACTTACCAATTGTTCTAGAATCTGTTTAGTGATTTCGCTCAACATGATGTCACGCATAGCTACACGTGCGATGCAAGCAGAAACACGGAGAAGCATCAAACGTTTAACTAAAATACGCATGCGAATATCATGTAATTAATTCTCTAATTAGTTCGACGACCATGAACATGAAAGTGCAATTCCCACCTGAAATCAGCAATGTCTTATTAGTGTAAAAACTTTTAAAAGCGTCTGGTGATGATATCGTTGTAAGCTGTAAAAACGAATTAAGTGGATCAAATACAACCCGAAACAGCCACAGACAGCATCAAGACAACAAAGCAACTATCACTGCTGAGACGGGGCTTTCTCTTGACATTCGGCGTAGTCTTGCTTAAATACTAGTTCCTCGACGTAGCCGAACTTCACGTCGCAGTTGCACGTGAAAACGAGCAGCACGCCCCAGTCTAGGCTGGGACCCTCTACGACGTCCAGCTTTAAATGGTCCAGCATTTGTGGCATCACCTGTAACCACAAGTAAGTAAATGAGTTAGTTTAGTGGCCACATGTTTAGGATCTCTTCAGCTATTAAGCTATCTCGCACTGGAAGTCAAGATGAAGTTAACATCAGCAGAGGTGGAGGGTCTCAATTATGGAATTTCTCTAATAAAAAATTATTTATCACCCACAAGGGACAAGAGGTCTCGTATGTCCAGCCCGCTGCAGCTGGCTCGAAAGAAGCAGCGTTAGCATCTCAAAGAGACGAAGTGACAAGGAGGGACAGATGAAAAACAGCAGAAACGAAGACACTCGAACACGAGGTCGCTTACATGGGACGTCGGCCGCCCGCACAAGAGAGACAGAGAAGGGAAATGTAAGAAATCCTACTTACTTGATAACTTAACCCCACAACTGAGACCTGCAGTCAATTTGGCGTTAGAGGTAAATCAGGGTAGCAGTTTGACTCATTTAACATGTTACAGATTTACCATTAGCGATGTTTTAACCTGGTTGCAAGATTAATCCCTCTTAGCATATTACCAAACGAATCACGACACATTGACACCGCGAGCTCAGCGGTGGAGCACTGAGCACAAGTACACGAGTTATTGGAATTTATGATACTAGCAGACTAGCCCGCCGTAGCTACTAATCAATAATCCTTGAAATTTTAACATTTCTTCATCCCGAATCCCGTTAATATGAATGAAATAAATGCAAGCCTTTTTAAGTCAGACCTTCAAACGCACATTTCAAAGTATGCATAGCAGCATATGTACGCTCGTTTCAAAACATAGGAAAACATATTTTGCGTACTAACAATCCAATTTATTCACACATAAAAATCAAATTCAATTCAATCAAATTGATGCATCCTTTCCGCAATACCTCACTATTCTCCTACTCGGTGTGGAATTTCAGGTCCAGGTAATGCCCTGTCATAATAGGTATCGTGAATACGCACTTGAAAAGACCCTCGCATTTATCTATAAAAGATTTTACATGCGAATTCGAAAGAAAACATTGAACTACAGAGATTTTTAATTATACCAGAACTTTTCAAGAAAAATATACTCGAAGTCTCGAACAGCATCAATATTTACGCTAGGTGTTTTTTTTTTAACTACATGCTAATAAAATTTGGAACTAATTTAAATATGTTCCTCATGCACTTACTTTGTCTTTATACTGAAGTTAAAGAAGTCTTAACAACAGTTATTGGATAATTTGACCCATTATTTAGGTTCTCTTTAAATATAATAGAACCTCGTGAATAATTAAGGAGTAGTCGGTTGTCCCGACCCATTTTCCAATCGTGTTGTCATCGTCCACTTAGCCAATTCATTTCACGTCAAAATCATATTACGTTTCGAGCAAAGTTTTTTCGTTCATCATGAAGCTTACGCTTCATGTTAAGAGTATTCATCTCTATTTTTTTCAAAAGCTAAAGGGCTTCCTTTATTGTTTATAAATGAGCATTTCTTTTGCTTGACATTAGAACCTTTGGCACGGATTAAGGTTATACGTAGCGCTACCATGGTACAAATACAAATGACATCAGATACTACAAATGTAGTACAAATTTCATCTGATATTAGAAATATAATACAAAATTCACCTGACATTAGAAATATAATACGAATTTCACCTGAAATTCGAAAGTTCTCGGCCTGGAGCAGTGGGGGCAGTTGTGTCGCTTGCCTCTGACAGGCTTGGGCTGCTGAGCGCAGAACAGCGGCGCGCCGCCTCTGTGATACCTGATCACCTGCCATGATTAACATTTATTAGCTACACAAAATGCATTCTAACCTTTAGTGACAAATATTTATTGGCTGTACGTTAGAGCCAAAGAAACGCAATCCACTCATTAGATTGTAAAGACATACCACAGTGTGAATAATATTGAGAAGTTCATCTAAGTTTTTCTGCTTAGCAGGAATGGTTCTCGTACATCAATTGCATTTACAACTCAACTGTATTAATGATTGGGCAAGGGATAAATTACATCAATGTGTGGTCAAAATATAAGAGTTCTCTTGTGCAGCGAAGAAAAAACAAAAGAAATCAATATGAATACAAGAGCAAGTTATAGAATCTTCTTTTTAAACAGAGCAATGCAAATAAATAGCAATAAATATGTAAATAAATCTATGGTCGCTTGCGGCAAGAATTGTAAGAAATTAATGAGTTGAGCTAAATTAAAGCTTGTGAGAAGAGTTGTACGAGCAGGTGCATGAGTTGTGTATAAGTAAAACACAATCTGTGCATTGCAAAAAAAAAAATTGTCGCAGAAGTATTCCCAAAGAGTATTCGTTTGTTGGTCTTGAGATGAGTAATAACTGAATGGAGGTGATTTAGCGCCTTTAAACAAGTAGCGTAAAGTAGGCTATTAGCAGAGAGAAAATTCTTAGCAATCAGAAAGATAATTCTTAGAGGACATCTTGCCTGTTCAGGATGCTTGTCCATCTGTTCCTTGAAGGCAGTAAATACGGGGTCAGCATCGGCTGTGGCAACATTTTCAAGAGTGTCTATGCTGTAAGGATCGTCATGTGCACCTGCAAAATTATTAATTAATATTAGTGAAATGACGAGTGCAATATCTTTTGACAGGAAAGAATTTTAATTATTGGGGGCATTCATATACTCGAGAACGAAATTAGTTCAACGGTTGAATTTTCAAATCAAACAGTTCGGCATAGTTTTTCGGTAAGGCACACGGAGGGAATGATCAATAAATACTCGATTGCTTGTGGCTTCAGTACAATAAAAATTAACGATAATATAAAAAAATAAAATAAACACTCTTAAAAAGTTGAGTTTTTGAAAGCTAGTTGAGAACTGCCAAAAAGTTTACCAAAGTGTACCGGGATTTGTACACTTGCTTGTTAACCAATTTTAATTTCAACTACCAAATTAAATATTATATCCGCCATTGATGGAAAAATTAATTCGTAGACTGGATTGAGCCCTTAATATTCCCAAACACTATTATAAAAATAATTTAATACTGATATATAATACCAATATTTTAGAAGAAATCTAGCAATTGAAGTAATAGCATTGGATGGTAAAATGGAGTCATATCAATAATTTCTTGAAATCAAATAAAAAATTGACTTATAGCACGAGCCTAAATGTAAAAAAAACGAAAACATAAAAATATAAGGCTCAACAGGCCAAGAAATTCTGGCCCAAATTGCAGTATCGTGTTCGTTGCAACCTGCCACAATCTGAGCATCAGAGAACTGGGCAAGACGCTCCCTGATTTGGTCCTCGGTCAGCTCAGCGTCGTCGTCGTCTGACTCGGACGCGTTCTCTTGGGGCTCCAGGATAATTTCTGCTTCAGGGAACAACAGAGAAGTCCTGGCTGCGCAAACTGATGATGGCCCTGGTGAAGAAAGGAAGATTTAGGTCAGTAAACATTTTTATTACATTGCATTGATCAAATTAAATTATCAAATCAATCAAAGATAAAAAGAGCAATTTTGCACCGAGAGCTCTCATCTCTGCATCATAATGACTGTGTTGTGCTTGTATTTCCTGTTCAAAGGCTGCGACGTAATGACTGCGCATAAAGTTGTTAAGATATAGATAAAATATTTACATCTATAAATGTGTGTGTTTACATTGTTTGGAAGTAGAGATGAAAAATTAAAAACAAAGTTAGTGACGTGAGAGAAATCTCACACAAAACCAACCCTTAAGGTAGGAAGAAAGAAGTAACACAATTCACGATAAACCAAGAGGAGCAAATAGCAAGAAGTTGAGAAGAGGCTGGATTCCACTAGGAGTCTCACAGGGTGACAATAATGATAACATTATCTTATGATCACAGGATTACTACATCACTAATTACCAGGACCGGCGGCTAGTTTTTTGCATTCGTGTTTATGTCCAAGCTTCCAGTGCAGCGATTGGTGCGACTTGGAGCAGTAGGATGTGCGGTGACACTGGGAACACACCTGGTACAAAAGAAAAACGATAATCAAATTAATTAATTAATTTAAAAATGTAATAGCAAACAAAGTTAGCTCATATGAAATTGAATTGGCTACATATAATTGGGTCTGGTAAATCTCAGACAGTCAACATTAATAAATAAGCACTTGTGGAACGTTCACACAGAGAACATAATATTTAGAAAATATGGCAACGAAAACTTAGCATTCAATCTGAGATATATTTTCAACTTCAAATTAACCCTAATTTTAAACAATTGTGAACACGTCAATTTTTTATATATACACCTTTTCCTGAGTGTCTAATATAAAAGCAAATCAATTCAATTGTCTAATATCTACCTGACCAGCCATAGTAGCTAAATTTAGAAGAAAGCATCTGGCTAACAAAATTCTTTTCAATGTAATTTACCTTATCTGCCCGAGCAGCACAAATACAACACACGCTGCCATAGTCAGCAGCACTGGGTGAGGCGCTGGTGGCTTCCTCCTCAACCGGAGGCTCGTAGGAATAATATGGGTTGCGGCGCGGCAGCTGACATCTGAAGGCTTTGATGCCCTTACTTGTGTTGGGTATGCAGCATCCGCCATTGTGGCATACAAACAAGAATATGGTCCTGTCAGGTACAGCATCATGTTACATGTAGGAATTTTTAATTGTGCAAGTTCAGCTGCAGTTGGTTTGCTTTATGTGCACGTAACATTGAATCCTGCTGAAGTATAAGTAATAATACAAATTTGCAACAAATTCTTGTAAGACATGAGCAATGAGACCTTGGAGAAAATGATGTTGAATAAATAATTGAAGCACTTACAGGGAATTACAAGTATCGTTATGCTAAATATTGTGTTTTCAGATGTATATACGTATATGTCATGCCAAAATCACGGAATTGCTGATTCCATGGAGACAAAAAAAAAAAAAAATAGAATTGGCCACAAAATGCTGATTCTAAAGATTCTGCAAACTGGCTGCCAATTCCAAAGAATTGACTATTCTGCAATTTTGGCATGACATATATAAATGTTTAGGAAAAACAAGCAGTAATTGGCGAGTGGGCATGTTACTTTACCTATGTTAGGTATGCAAGTATTCACTATATGAAAGCACTTTAGTACCTAAGTAAGTACCTAAGTAATATGGTATTCATCTATATCAACACCAAGTCCCTTTGACACATACTTTAATTTATAACAAAAAATATTTAGAATGATAAAATTAATATGTTCAACTGCAAGATAAGGAGGTTTTGCATGATTTAATAAGGACAATGTAAATGATCACTTATTTATTCACACAATGAAGGTTGTTACCTGATGTTGAATTAGGCTACTGTGTAGACCAAGCTTCATGTCTTATCAATTATCATATTTTCATTCATTGCTCAATTCAAATTAAATTCAACATTTTTTCCAGTGTAGATAAGTAAAAAATATGCAGACTTAAGAACCTGCACTCAATCTGGGCACTCAATTGCACTGGTGAGTGGTGTTAATGATATTAGGAAGCATAAGAATATCAGTACTAATTCTTATTGATAATTTAGGTTATAATATATCTTTGTTATTATTGTAATTTTATTGATACTAAGTAGTTAATTGTGTGAACTCATTTTCTTATGCTTGCTTGCATTTAACTTTGTTCTTGTTAATTTCTGATTGACTGCTATGATTTGGTTAAAAAAAAGGTAATTTATCATATGGGATTACAGTTGCAAATATCTTCAGTAGTAAGCATATTTTCTCAACTTTTGCTCACAGTGTCGTCCATGATTTATCTTTCCTTTCGTTTTATTTATCTTGTTTTGCCTTGATTTAAGGGGACCGACCTGGCTAAAATTTTCAATTTTGGCGTTTTCCACTTTTTGGGCTCATCTTAAAGCTTACTTTTTGACGCATCCAACGGTGCCAGAATCATCCCTCTACGTCGAAAAATGATTTCGTGACAGCTTCCCAAAGAAGGGTAGTTTTTAGGCCCTTTAACAAATGTCTATGGGATTTAATTACAGGGCTGGACAAACTAAAAGAAACGCCTGACGTAAAGCGGCCAATCATGGCATTATCCGGTGCTTATACTCATCTTAAAGCTTACTTTTTGACGATTCCATTGGTGGCAGAATCATCTCTCTACCTCCATTTTTACGTTCACCACGCCCCATGGAATGGGGGGTGGTGGGGGGGGCCTTCACTATTTGCTAAGGCAATAAATAGGAGGCGTGACTACATATACTGTGGGATGCAACACAATCTTTCATTGCCTATCATGACAGCAAGGTGGAAGGTGGCAGCCACTCGCTCTACACCTTCCTTTCTTACTTTTAAGGCTTAGTTTCGGTATGTTGGCTACGTTACGACTCTTTTACGTCATTTTACGTGCCGCCCGGCAGTCTTTTGGCCGTACTGAAAACCTCATACTGCTCTCACGGCAAATCTATCTCCTCCTACAGTTTTCAAGCTACAGCAATGAGACATATAAAATTCGATTCGTAAAGACCAGGCCTATCGACTCTAACATCACTTTTTTGAATTTCGGTCTGGTTCGTTTTTTATATGGGGAAGAAGGGGGGGGGAGGGGTGAAAAATGTAAAAAATGGGAAAAAACGTCATAAAAAAAAACTAGGTGGAAAATGAAAAAAGTGATGTTAGAGTCGATAGATATGGTCTTTACGAATCGAATGATACGTGTCTCGATGTTGTAGGATGATATTTGTGGGAGGAGATAGATTTTCTAAAGTACCCCTTTTTAGCCGTTTTCTATGAATTTCACGTTTTCTATCAATTTTTTCGAAAAATTCATACGAGCAAAATGTTTTTCTTTTTACATTTTAAGTATGTATGTGAAGTTTCATGATGATCGGATAATAACTGTAGAAGTTTCTCCGGGCCAGGTCGGTCCCCTTAACTTGTCCTTTTGCTTCATTCAAACCTCATTTAAAGATTCCTCTAGTTTAAAAGTTACAGCATAGACATGAAGATGCTTGATCAGTTTCAAGAGAGTTAATGGTTCTTGTAATATCAGCTTATCAGTCATTGTTGATTTGTATTAGAGTCAGTTCTTTCTATTGCAGTTTTATCTGCTCATCTTCACCTGTCCATGCTCCTTATATGCAACTGACTAGCACATTTTCACTTTACTCTCAAAATCACTCTAGTTAATAAGTCATTACACTCCAATTTTTATTAAAAAATATATATTTTTGACTATCCCATATTTTTATTCAATAGTCATCATCTATTAGAACCAGTCATTCATTATCCTTCATTCAGAGTAGGGTTGTCATTTAGTCATTTGATAACAGGCTTATCTCACCTGTGTCATGAGACATTCAAGGCCCATCAACAATGTTGTACACCTGTTTAGGCATAAATGAGTGATTTGGGAGCTAACCTGCCATACCAGCACAATAAACAATTAAAAAAATGTCAATAAAAGGGAAATTCAGCTGTGTATAGCATCATCTTGACAAGTGATGCCATAAATAATTCATAGCACTCACCTGTGGAAGGAGTAGTCATGTCTGGAGTCTGGGAGATACAATTGGCACAAAAATGTAAGAGGATCACTGCAGACCTGGCAGCTTAGCTGGTTGTGTGTGGGTAGGTTGTCTAAGGCAAGCCATGCAGGCTGGCCTCCTACCTGTACAGATCAGGTGAATCTATTTTAAAAATTCAAAAGCTTTATTTGTTATGTGATCTAAAATGTAAAATATAGTGTTACCGGGGGTTGTAAATACTATTTTTATAGCACAACCTTCCTGCATACATGATCTTTATTCTCTATTTTAATAATATATTGAGTGGGCAGTTAGAGCATTAATTTTACTTTGTGTTAGTTAATATTGTTCTTTTTTTATTTCTTTACAGTATTACAGAATTACAGTATTACCAGAATTCAACCAGCAAGTGCAATAGTCTGATCAAGTGCTCATTGAATTTTTCTGCACCATAGTATAGGCATCATCACCTGTCCATGTTCCTCTCTATTCGCTAATTCTGAACTACTCATGTTCCTCTCTATTCTTTATTTCTTAACTACTCATTTTATTACAATACTGGAAGTCACATAAACTGCTGATCCCGTGTAATAAACTATGTAACTTGGTTTTAACTCTGTTTAATAAAACTTAGAAAACACCAACTTTAATTCCCCATAAATTATGTAGCTGCAATAGACAAATACAAGCTGATGACAAGTTCATCACACCCGCATAACAATAGTCAAACTGCTACAATAGAATCTACCCAGCATACAAACAAGAAATTAGTAATACCAACTGGGGACATAAAAATCATGAGTTAAATTATACCACTGGGCACTGGGTGTTCCAAAAGTCTTGGGCTCATTTAGACATTGAATATCTTAGAAACCATTAACGTTATGAGCATGCATCTCAAATTATAGATCTTAATGTTTCAATCTCCACATGGAATGTTGAAAGATATTCAATATGAGCATTATTGGTCTCACAATACACATAAAGCTCATAGGTCAAATTCATGCATCCTGCAATCAAACATTGGTTTTCAATGGATGCAACAGCCTCCAGCTTAACCATCTTATTAGTGTCCAATAGTAGCCATCAAAAACATTGCATAAAAATTAATGCAATTAGCTTTCAAATGATACAATTGCTATTCCACTACCATTTAAATTTAAGGTGATGTATAAACTTCAAATGCATCCAAGAGTTTTGAAACCCTCTGCATATTTTACATAATGGTCATCAAAGATAAAAATAATATATGACTAATTTTGCATAGAAAATATTAGATTTGGGTCTAAATAATAGCAATAAAATAGAAGAGAATATTACACTAAATATAGCAAAAATTAAGGGAAGAAGGGATTTAAAAAATCAAGATATTTCAATAAAATATCTGTCGTTTTAACAAATCAAAATATTCTAATAAATAAATAAAATATCCATCTTTTTAACCAATTCAGATATTTTAATTGAAAGAGATAGGGTGATTTTATAATATAAGACAAGGGTGATATAAAATGTAATTATTGGCTTAAACATTACTAATTAACCAGAAATTCTTGATATTTCTATTAGTATGATGCAAAATGTAGAAATTATGTGAGCATATTATGGCAGAGTATTCCATGACAAAACAAACAAATTAAATGTGAAAACAATTTTAAGGATATGCCTCAATAAATATTACCTTACTAGGAAAATATTTGCTTCTCAAAACCCAAGGTTCAGCTTCTTCGATGAATCCCAAGGCTACTTTTTCTTCACCAGGGTTGATTTCTGCAACTGACATGACTGCTTGCTGCAACTTTTCAAACATGCAATGCTCTCAGTAATGACAAAGCAAAACTGAAAAAAATATGAATAATCAGTCATTACCAAAATACAATCATTGCAGTAATTACTTACACAATTAAAAATTTTATACAGTAGATGCATTAGACACCGGATTAGAGAACATTTATTTTTTTTAGCATTTGATTTCTGCCAATGCATGGAAATATTAATAGACTGATTAGAGATTTTCTCAGTGAGAGTTTGATAGAAAAAAAAGACTTAAAGTCATATCGCGTGGTCAAGCTAAATTTTCTTTGTAGCCTTTGTGTGGCACAAGCGGCGACTAATAATTATGAAGGTGTAAGGTTAAATTCAACAAGCACATTTCACTCTAATGTGTCGTGCTTATATCGTGCCATACTCAGTATATTTGTTCTGCATACCAATATCAGATGATGTATCGCATTTGCATCATTAAAGATAACTAATTAAGCTTATGGGCTAAACATATATTAAATCAAATTAATTCTGACCATTTGTAGCGCTTAAGAACATCTACTGATGGACTTGAATTAAAAATCAAGAAAATCCCAGAAAATTGTAAAGTTTGTAAAGTGTAATCCCAGAAATTGTAGCTCCTATGTTTTTAAATCTCCAGAGTTGAAACAATTTTGTGTGAGAACAGCAGTGCATTGATAAGTTCAGGTGATAACATTTAATAGGAAATTGAATTTATTTGGATTATATTTACTTTTTTATTCGTGGTGAACTTGCGTATATATCAGACTGATGATATAAGTACTTATGAGCTAAGGTTTCCAATACAATTTTTCTCAGAGTAGCAAATCAGATTTAGGTAGATGCAACACAGAACAAGATAAATTCAAAGTGTTTGATGTTAATGTGAAAGAGACCAGGTTTGAAATCACATTTTTCTGTTTAATAAATAAAATTAACTCAATCGGACTTGCCGAGCTCTCGCGTTTTCACGTGTAGTGACTCGCACTAGTATTTCTCTTGAATGTCATAGTTAATTTTATTAAACCATCAAACTCGTGATTGTCGACCTCTAAAAATACCTTACTTACTGGTAATTATCTTGATCTTGATTATGTATTTTGGATTTCATCAATTTCATTTGAAACCATTGTAAAAGTGTACAGTTATAGTTAATTATCAATTTTGAGCACCAATAACACTCATGTAATTACTGAATGATGAAGTTTAGTAAATGTCAAAATTATTTTATGTTAAATTGTACCAGAAAATATTGTGAAATTTCTTGAGAACGCCAGGAAGAACCATTTGCCAATCGCGCATTAGTTAGTCATTTCTAGACGACGCCATGGGGTAAACATCAACTAAGGGGTAAACTGCCAAGTTCTTCACTTGAATTCAATTCTTTAATGCAATAGAATATTTCAGGTATATAATTGTAATAACTAAATTGCTAAATTGTGTTTTGTATACCTTTGATATTGTTACTCCAATATGTTCATGTCATGTTTGTATTCTAATGACCAACCGCCCGCAGGTGTTGGTCGTGCCGTTGTTCTTCAACCCATCAATAAACATACTAAACATCAGATTCTTCACTCCACCCAATTTGATTTACAATTGCATCAATCACTTAAGGAAGAGGGAAGCTAAAATCTTATTCATATCTAACCACAATTCAGAAAAACCTAACCCTCTTCCAAACACGTAATCCGCGTTGCTGCGCCGCCATGTTTGTTGCACGCTCGTGCCTTACATTACTCTTCCGTTCCTGTACGTTCAGATGTTTTGGTGGTAATGGAAAAAGAAAGAGCAAAGCATAAAGGATAAAGCTATTGTCAAAAACTCCTTCCTTCAGCAAGAGACTGGTATTCAAGAAAATTGTTTGACATTAACGATATTGATCCCTACAAAGTGGCAGCAAAGCTGTGGTGTGCAGATTTTGCAAGCCTGCCTCCCGTTTCACACGGTGATTTACTAAACTATTTGGTGTCAAGGCATTAAAATTCAAGGCATACAAGACACTTGAAGCTTTCAATCAATTTGTGAAAGGATGGGTGCAGGAGATATACACCCACAAACCAGCCTACTGCAACGACACTCATTGCAGCCAAAAGTTTTGCTTGGGTTATTACTGATAGCACCAGCATATCAGCTCACTGTGACTTGGTTACACACATATCGTGAGTAGTTATGAACAAGAGGGACTGAGCGTGAGTAGCGGTATGGACAAGAGAAGTTAAGCGTTGAGCGTGAGTAGCGTTATGGATGAGAGGGGCTGAGCGTTGAGCGTGAGTAGCGTTATCGACAAGAGGGGCTGAGCGTGAGAAGCGTTATGGACGAGACGGGCTGAGCGTTGATTGCGAGAAGCATTATGGATAAGAGGCTGAGCGTTGAGCGCGAAAAGTGTTATGGACAAGGGGCTGAGCATTGAGCGTGAGTAGGTAGCATTATGGATGAGAGGGACTGAGCGTTGAGCGTGAGTAGCGTTATGGATGAGAGGTGCTGAGCATTGAGCATGTATAGCATTATGGACGAGAGGTGCTGAGCATTGAGCCTGAATAGCGTTGTGGCTGAGAGATGCTCAGCTTTGAGTGTTATGGACGAGCCCAACCCTGAGGGCTAACACTAGCGTTATCAAAGCCTAACCCAGTGTTAGCGTCATAATCGTAATCAAAGCCCAACCCATTGTCAGTAAAAGCTAGGATATCGCGGCATGCTCCCTAGATTATTACGGTTTTCCACCAACCAGGTACCATCTGCCTTATGCCGACTTGACAGTGATGAAAAAGAAGATCCAAATGCACCATTTATTAAATTACAGCATAAAATATAGAGAAATTGAAAGCTGCTCAAAACAAAATGAGCCCAAAGAATGAGCATTTCACAACCAAGTTTAATTCTAGGATTCACAAATTGTGCTTTGAAATAAAAAATGAGGATGCTTGAAAAAATTACTGCACATTGGTTCCAAACATAAGCTGTGGCTTTCTCAAATGCACAATGTCTAGTTGTATATGGAAAGGCGATTATATCCACAAGTACCAGCGATTAAAACTAATTTAAGGTTATATGACAGAACACAAAAAAATCAGCTACATAGGATTGGCAACTAGGCTGGTAATCTCAGTTATTACCAGCCTTTTTCTGAGTTGAGCAAAATAAATGGCCTCCAGTTATGTAGTGTTAATACTATCACAACTTGCATGAAATTCCTCCCGATAGGAACATTGGTTACTCGCATGTGCTTGACAGCTCAGAAAATGCACTAAAAAACATACCAGACTAATACAGTGACATGTTTACGATACCTGATGTAAGAAGGTTATCCGCACTACTTGTCGGAACAGTACTTGTTGTAAGGCCTAGCCAGTCAAGTTGAAGCACTTTGTCTCTGGTGTCCTCGTGAGGCTGACTGAGCTATTATTGGCTGCAGTACGCTATTCTCAGGTACGCGTGAATTTGGATCAGTGCTCTTCTTTAAGTGTCCGTGAATTATTGTATTTTAGATTATTGAATTATCTTTCTGTATTGTTCATTTTGATGTGTATTTATTTGTGTCATTTGTTTGTCTCGGCAGGACAGAGCAAAGTCCCTCTCCTCTCTAGAAGACTCTCCATAGTTATAGTCTCTCCTTAGTTTAATAGGCTACCTAGTAATGATCGTGATTCTGAACTGTTTTGAATAAATATAAAAACTTTATACCAGTTAATTGAACCCAACATCATCACACCTGAGAAAAATAATATAATGTTGTAAAATTAACGAGTTGCGTTGCAATGCTAATAAATTAGAGCAGGCACACTTGAAACCTTCTCTTTCAAGTTGGTTTCTCTCCTTGCATACTTTCGTGGGCTTTCCGCAACGTTCTCATCAGCGCCAATTGCATGACGTCAAAGCAGGCATACCCTTTTTGATTATCAAGGCCTGAGGCCGGATTATCAAATCATCGCTAAGTACACGTAGCGACTTACATGTAGCGTAAGTGCTGATATGAAGAAGTAACCTTAGCGGTGGTATTATCAAAACATTTGCGCAGGAAGCTACGTACAAGAAGCCGTATGTAGCTCTACGCCTGCTCAAAGGTGTCACAAGTGGAGTTACGTAGATGTTTGGAGTGTGCCGAAGCAATATAAAACTATTGATTTACTTGCAACACGCCACACGGTGAATTGTGATAGAATTTTATCAATAATTTAACATAGGCATAATATGTGATAGTGCTAAACGGTGCTTTTTGAGAAAAAATTTCAATCAAGTTATGCCAGCTAGGGTTAACGCGGTATATTCCGACACATTAAGCACGCATCGAGAAATGAAAAACTCTAAAAAAAACGTATGTGTTACTCGAGTTTTGTTTGCTTTATGTGACTCTCAAAACACTGCAAGACACTCCAGCAACAATGAAACGTCACAAAATGTTGCCAAATTTATTTAAAAGCCTTTAGAATGCAAACCTACCAAATCCCTATATTCCGACACTGTGTGTGACTACATTCGGCACGTGGTGAGACGTATTCCGACCGCGCTTCAAATTGTACTAATACGTAATTCTGACATCCACGTGTTCGAATTCCGATCGCTGTGTGAGCTGTATTGCAATCCAACACAGCTTTGAATTAGAACACTATTGAATATTGAGCACTACTTAATTAGGCTTATAATTAGGAAAATTTTTATTTTTTGCACACAGCTTGGAACGAGTGTGTGTGTCCAATTCAAGTTGTGTCGGAATTAGTTTCTATGTGTCTAAATCCATTTCTCAACTTTATCATCTATTAATTTATTTACCACTTGAAATCAGCAAATACAAGTATACTTAGAGGATTTCTAATATATTCACAGATGTATTTAAAAGTCTCAAAACATAATATTCTTTCTACACAAACAGTTCATCACTATTTGGTAGAGCAAGGCCAACTGTCAACTTTGACACATTTTTTGATGATTTCATTGGGTGGCATGCACCGTCTCTCTTTGGATCTCAACATTTTCCCGCTAGATGGCCCAGACCTAGTCCAGGGCGCAGAGGGTGGATGCAGCGTCACCAATATACGAGTTTTCAAGCCCTAAGCGTCGCCGGGTAATTTTAAGATGCATCGCTGGGTTATTTTCAATGAAAAGCCATTTACGCTGAGTAATGAAAAACTATTTACATACCCTGAACTTAGTTACAAGGTTGCATGTACGTCACAGCACGTGTTACCCCAAATAACTAATTTTACCCTAAAAACAGTCCAATTGTACAGCAAGTGTCAACTGAACCTGTGATTAATGCAGTCTGACCACTCTAATGTGACCGCAACTACGTACTCGTAAGCTTGATGTTTACATTTTTTTGGCGGGAACTCATCGTAACTGATTTCCGGGCAAGCTTCACTGCATCTTGATCCATCCAACATATTGGAAACCTGACTTTTTTTAAATAGTTGGCTGAAGACAGACAAATATATTAAATGCAAGAATTTCAATCTAAATGTGTCGGCAAGATCTTCCGAAGGCGTAAATTTTGCTACTGAAGCGTCGCCAAAGATCTTGCAATATTCATCCACTCTCTGCACAGTGGGACCTAGTGTTTTGGCAGTAGTTTGACGTGCAAATCTATTTGCAACTCACTATTTCAACCATCAATGAATGCATGGAACTAAAACAAAGCTTAATATAAAGGAAAAACTAGAGAGGTGTCGGAATTACCCATGATGTCGGAATATACCACGTTTAAACTAATTTCTTTTCCTTTTGTGCTATAATTTGCAAGCAAATCTTGATATTTGTACCTTAGAGTTGTATGATCATTCACTAAAATAATATCTTCACGACTTTTTGATTCAAAACAAAGTGGAGGTTGACAAGTCAACCATTTTTCTAGCTACGTACACAAATTCCTTTCTTTCTCCGCTGATAGTTGAACTCCAACTTACAAAATGTTCTAAATTCTAGGTAGCTCTCTAAAAAGTCCTCAAATTTTGAATGGGAAAAAATGGGAAAAATGTATTTTTTTGCAATCAAGGCAAAAAATTAATCAAGGCGTTGTCATTGCTATTTAGACAACGTCTCACTCATTTCTCCATTGCATATGCTCCCTAGTCAGTCAATGCAGATGACCAGATGACGCTGACATAATAGTAATACAACCTCCTTTCATCCACGCGCACTGCACACTGAGTCGACAGGAGCTAGGAATGGCAAATTCAAAGCCTCTGATTGGTCAGTTAGTTGGATGGTTTTGATAATACCTTTTCAGATGAGTCTTGCATAAGACAGTTTTGTTAATGCCAAATTTTGACTGACTTACGCAACGCAATACGTAACTTTTTGAATGTAAGTACGAAAAGTTACGTGTACTTGGCAAAGTTTCGTTAATCTCTGCCCAGGTTTAGTGGTTTGCCCCTCTGGTGGCCGTGGGCAAATAAAGAGCTCACAGTAAGAATATTAATGACTGCTTCTCTGGCAAAA